GGGGAAAGCCCCGGCAAAAATGCTGCCCGAAGCTCCTGAGCGTGGGGGAAGTTAAAGAGGCCCTGGGTTCAAAAGCACCTGTTGCACCTGTTTTGAGTTTGCTGATGTAAACAAACTCCGTCCTGGTCCACCTTGTAGGCAGAAGGCGGGCAACCTGCCGTGACAGCAACTGTTATGAATTCCTCTGGACCGAACCGAAGCGACGACAACAACAACTGTGACAAAGGGGCCACAAAGCTGAGAAGCGGGGACACGGAGACGCGCTGCGTCTACGCCGATGAGAAGCGGGAGAGGAATCAGATTTACACCCTTTTGAGCATCAGCAACAGTGTGAAGGAGGAGGAGGAAAGGCCCTGGGAGTGCCTGAACGGGACAGGATGGGAGGAAGCGGTAAGCGAGCCAATTCTCATTCTTAAAAACAACGGCGGTTTCTTTTTTTAAAAAAAAAAGAAATGTGCAAAAATAACGCACAGCACAACGCGGCACGGTGCAGTCCGCCGCTTACGATTCAGTGACCGTATAAAGTTATAGCGGCACTGGAAAAAGCGATGGTTTTTCACACTCACGACTGCTGCGGCATCCCGTAGTCTTGTGACTGGCAAAAATAAAATAAAATAAATCAGAGGGTTGGCAATCGGCTCCTGTTTATGACGGCTGCGGTGTCCCGGGGTCATGGAACCACGTTGTGCGATCTTTTGACAAGCCAAGTCAATGAGGGAGCCAGATTCAATTAACAACCGTGCTAGTAGCTTAACAACTGTAGTGACTCACTTAACAACTGGGGCAAGCAAAGTCGTAAACTGGGGCAAAACTCACTTAACAACTGTCCTGCTTAGCAAACAGAAATGTTGGGCTCTGCTATGGTCGTAAAGTCAGGACTACCTGTAGTTCAGGGGTCTGCAATCTTGACCACTTTAAGACTTGTGGATTTCAGTTCCCAGAATTCCTCAGCCAGCTAGTCATAAAAGAGCCACGTTTGAAGGCCCCTGTTATATACCATTATAGCACCTGAGCAGCAGTTGTAGTCTGTCCCTTGCATGCAATGTCTTAAATAAGTTTCCTGTCCTCTATTTACATCCAGGACCTTATGACAGCTATCCTGTGTCTAGTCATACCTTCAGCATAACTGGTGATGCGTAATTAAGGTTACACTCCCTCCCCCCCCAATTCCATAGTTTCTGACTGCAAATTCTGTAGTCTTATGAATATCATCCTGCAAAAAAACATTATACCATTAGCTAAAAGATTTCCTTCCAGATGCCCTTACTTCAGAGGGTATGAGGGTGAACATAGAGAGAGCAGTTTCTTAGTGACAGAATATTATTTCCAAGAATACATGTCCGACATGCATTCTGAAATCTTTTTTTCCCCATACATACACCAGGACTGTTCTGATGGACTTTAATGAATGACATACGTTTACTTTGGCTATTGCTAGAAGTGTCTTTTATGGAGGCAATATTTTTTTAAAAAAATCTTTTTGATATGGGTTCTTTTGTAAACTTTGCTAGTGGCATCGCCTATTAAAAAGTCGGATAAAAATATTCCACATAAAACTAAGAAAGCCAACGGAACATAAATAGAAGCAGTCTGCAATGGTTGAACCCTTTATATTATAATGCAGTGGCCCCTAACCTTTTGGGCACCGGGGGCTGGGGCTTGGTTTCGCATGCTACCTGCGTCCCACGGATGGGGCTTTGCTTGTTTTCACGGTCCGGTTTCTGGCAGGCTGTGGCCCGATGCTGGTCCATGGACCAGGAATTGGGGACCCATGTTATAGTGGGCAATTTCAAATTCTTCCAGTGGAACATGAAAGGGAGGCCACTAGGCAAACAAATTGATGGCAATCCAGAAAAAAAAAAGATGCTTGTGTGAGGTGTCTGGCATAGTCTTTTAGGGCAGGGGTCTCCAACCTTGGCAACTTTTAAGACTTGTGGACTTCAACTCCCAGAATTCCTCAGCCAACCAAGCTGGCTGAGGAATTCTGGGAGTTGAAGTCCACAAGTCTTAAGGTTGCCATGGTTGCGGACCTCTGCTTTAGGGTATGTTTCAAGGACATTATGCTTCCCTTCCTCACAGGAGGAATCTCAAGTTTTGGTGCAAGGTGCTACGCGTGATTTTACGTAGAAAGAGGGAGAACAAAAACCCCGAGACGGCTATTTTGGAGCCACTTGTTAAATCTTGTGATTCCCTCCAGAGCTGCCAAAACGGGTTGCTAAATGCTTCGCTGGATAAAGAGAAGCGCTTTTGAGTGGCCTGGAAACGTCATTCTTACTGCATCGTTCCAAACAAAGACTCTGTTTTTCTATGCTCAACTTGAACTTCAAACTCATACGGGCAGTCCTCGACTTAACGACCACAACCGAACCCAAAATTTCTGTTGCGAAGCGAGATCTTTGAGTTGTGTCCTATTTTATGACCTTTGTGGCCACAGTTGTTAATCGCTGCAGCGGTTCAGTTAATACAGTGGTTCCCAACCTTTTCTATACCCCGCACCCCTAGAACGCTTCTGATATATTCTCACACCCCTGACAAAGGTTCAAAATGACGGCAACAAATTATGCACATACACTATAATTTTGAAAACCCAAGTTTTCGCAACCCCTGGAATATCGTCTTGCACCCCCGGTTGGGAACCCCTGAGTTAGTAGCACGGTTAATAAGCGAATCTGGCTTCCCCATTGACTTTGTTTGTCAGAAAGTGGCCAAAGGTGATTTACGTGACTCCGGGACCAGTGGTGGGATTCAGCCGGTTCGGACCATTTCAGCAGAGCCAATAGCTAATTTTTTGTTGCCCAGGCCCAGAACGGACTTCCAGGAGCAGCATCCACATAGAGAACCAGTTATTCCCATATTTGAATGCCACCACTGCATCCATGTCTGTCTGTCTGTCATCCATCCATGCAGTGGTAGGATTCAGCCGGTTTGCACCACTTTGGCAGAACCAGTAGCCAATTTTTTGCTGTCCAGGCCCAGAACGGACTTCCGGAAGTGGCATCCACACAGAGAACCAGTTGTTCAGATATTTGAATCCCACCACTGCCCGGGACACTGCGACCGTCCTGAATATGAACCAGTTGCCAAACGTCTGAATTCTGATCATGCGACCCTGGGGCTGCCACAATGATTTTAAGTATACAAAGGGGTCATAAGTCACTTTTTTCCCAGGCATTTGCAACGTCAAATGGTTGTAAGCACTTGTAGGTGCTTTTACCGTACTAGAATGTCTCATAATTTCATCCTCTGAAACTGCAGTTTCATTCAGGGCGTGCCATTTCCACATAGGGTTTGGGCCGCCAGCCCAAGGTCTTTTTTTTGCTGAATACGGTTTTCCTCCTTTTCGTGTCTTCAGGTCCAAAGCTGGAGCAAAACAGCCCCGTTTGCTTACCTTCAATTACAAAAGAGAGTCCGAAAACCCCGGACGAGTGAGTCCGCCAATGGATGCCTCTACTGCTTAGATCTGATGCAAGGCGTGGAACCGGAGCCCAAGAACATTGTTCAAGTCAAATCCAATTTCAAACTCAACCCAAGCGCTGCCGCAGGTAGCCCTCCAGAAAAACAACAGACGGTGCTTTATTCTAATTCAGTCACAACTACTACTACTTCTGCTGCTTCTGCCACAGATGAGCCTAAAAAGGAAACAGATTATAGCAAATGGCACTCTCTTCAGATGTCCCAGGGAGAAAAGAAAAGGATGTCCTTAAAAGAAGCCCAAGCTTCTCTGAGTGAAAAAAAGTTATTTCTCATGAAAGAGAATCTGCTGTTCCCAGCAGAGAAAAAAACGGTGCCGATCAAGGAATATAGCATTCTGTCACCGGGAAAGCCCCAAAGTCTAGAAACCGTCAAGACCAAAGAGATAAGGAGCCACGAGCCTCTTCTGTGGAACCAGCCTGGCACCGAAATCACGGCTAAGTCATCGTTGGTCCTGCCGCCCCTGAAGGAGACAGCGCTCAAACACAGCCTGGATAACTCTCCAAAGAAAAGTAAGGTAGTTCCTTCCCAGGCCGGTGACAAAAACTCCCATGCGTACGCAGAGACGGTTTCCTGCCCTCAGTTTTTAAAAAGCAAGGAAGCGACGCGCGAGCCGAGGATAGACGCCCTGTACGATGCGGTGAAGGAGCAGATAAAAATGCACGAGATAGCCTCCGCCTTTGTCCCGAGGCTTTCCAAGACTTCAGTCGCCTCAAGGAATTTGGATCGGGGCTACTGGCACTGTGGTTTTTTGCCCTATCGGAAAAGTCTAACCTTGAGCAGTTCGGTTCAGCTGAGAAGAGCCGGCCATCTCCACAGCAGCCATTCCCTGCACGCAAAAGGAAGCCACGCCAGCAAAGCCAGTGAAATTAGGAGCAGGAGTTACAATGGAAGCAAACAGGAAGGAAGTCAGGCCAAAACTCAGGACATCCCACTGCTTTCTGGACTGTTCCCTTCCTTAACGGTCAGCCGGATTGCCTTAACAGCCTTGCCTTCTAGGCTGACCTGACTTTTCTTAAATTGTAATGTAGTGTCGAGATGTTAGTAGAGTTGGTTTGCTCGCTCTGTTAACGAGAACAAATACTGAAGGTTCCCTATTAAGCAGGCTCTATTGTTATTATTATCATCATCATCCATGCCCAGAGGCATCATTTCCTCACTTCTGTAGAAAAATTAACTTGTCTGCTGGACAGTTACTCTACAACAATTATTTCGGTGGCGCTTCAGATTTGCGTGGTTAAAATGGCTGACTCTAAGCCAGGAGTGTCCAACCTTGGCAAATTTAAGATGGCGGACTTCAACGTCCTCCAGCATGGCTGACTGGGGAACTCTGGGAATTGAAGTCCACAGGTGTTAAAGTTGGCAAGGTTTGGACCGCCCTGATTTGAGCCTTGAAGTCCTTTGCTTTCAAGAGACAGCTTATTGCAAGATTTTTGTCATGGGTTAAAAGTGGACCCACCTAACTCACTGAGGATGCAGAAGATGGAGTTTTAGCCCTGCCAATCTCTTAATGTGCAACTATAAACTGATTGAGGCTATATTATAGTCGTTGGACAATGCATGTGGGGAGGACCATGGCAGGACCATGCTTGGCCTTGCACCTAGGTGTCTTCGATTCAAATCTTGCCTTGTTTTAAAGTTGCACACATAGAGACTCTAAAGACAAATGCAGGCTGTAAATTTAAGCAGATGGGGTTTATGAGCTCTGTTCATTTTGGTAAGTCGCAATCTGGACAGCGTTTCATTGAATGTAGAAAAAATGGCCTCTCATCTTTAGGTGGAACCCTTAGCCACTTTTAGGTGCTGTTGAAGAATTTAATTTTGAACCTGCCTTTTGATTTAAAATGTTTAAACAATTTATAGATAAGTCAATATGTGAAGAAAATATTTGCTTGTTTGGGGTTTTTGGTCTTTGTTTTTGGTTTGTATGTAATTTTGACTTCCATATTTTGCTTAGGACTTTTCTTACCATGCCAAATTAGATAGTTTACCTTGTTTTACAGTCTAGATAGCTTCAATAAAATTTTTTTTCCTGGATGCACTCTGACAGCATGTTCCTCAGTATTTCAGTTCAAGATACTTTCCTGTCAACAACTGCTATAATTATCTTACGTGTTACCTGTCATAGTTTGAGTAACAGAAAGGTAACGACAGTTCTGGGCATCTCAAAAATGAGATAATCTATACTTAGAAATGAACCTTATATTAATTTCAATGGGTATGAGAATGGCATTTTTATCAATTTTCGGGAAAAAAGATCAGAACTGACATCATGGATAAGAAAAGGGAAATAAAATAGTAGCTGTCTAGAAAAAAAGAAAAATTGTTTTGTTTGACACATGTAATGAACTAAAATTAGGGAACCATGTTTAACAGTTTATACTTTTTTGTATCTTAAAGTAAAAAATATCAGATAAGGGATCTGACAAAAAATATTTAGAGTGGAGCTTTCTCCTAGATAAAAGCATGTTTCGGATTAGTTTAGATGTCCCATTCCTTTGGGAGAGGTTTAAGATGGCAATTTTCTACTGTCTTGTCTGCTGTGAAACTTCACTCAATTTGACTAGTTTCTAAATAATCACACATCTACCATGACTATGGAGTTAGTGGGAACTATAGATGTTTAAGACTCTTTGAGAGACAATTTAGTGTAGTGGTTAAGGCATCAGGTTAGAAACTGGGAGAATATGAGTTCTAGTCCCACCTTAGTGGGTGACCTCGGGCCAGTCACTTTCTCTCAGCCCTAGGAAAGAGGCAATGGGCAATCACGTCTGAAAAACATTGTCAAGGAAACTGCAGGGACTTCTCCATGTAACTTCTGAGAATCAGACATTGATTGAATGGAATACATACATACATACCGTACATACTCTTTAATTGAAGCCCCAATTAATCTTTTTCTGTTCTCCAAAAAGAACTGTTACAATTTATGTTGCTACAGAACTAATTAGGTTTTAAAGTAAAATATTTAAAATCTACATTTATAATACATAGCAAACACTTTACTTTTAGCAGCATACTCTCTCTCTCTCTCTCTCTCTCTCTCTCTCTCTCACACACACACACAAAGTTTTTAATTCTCTTAAAAATTAACTAGATAGCAAAAGCAATAGCACTTAAGACTTATATACTGCTTCACAGAGCTTTTACAGCTCTCTCTAAGCGGTTCACAGATGTCAGCATATTGACCCCAACAATCTGGGCTCTCATTTTACCGATCTCAGAAGAATGGAAGGCTGAGTCAACCTTTAGCTCTGTCGGGATCGAACTCCTGGCTGTGGGCAGAGTCAGTCTGCAATACTGCAGTCTAACCACCTTGATTTCTAACATAGCAAATGAGTTTCTATTGGCTGTTTTCTTTAAGGAATCCATAGGCAGGCAAAAAAAAGGGGGGGAAAACCCTGCAATATGCAAAATGGCAAAATATAGGGCACCACTTTAGCTATATTAAAAAATTTGAAATCACTACGGATAAAAACGAGTGATGTAAAGAGGAAAACTTGTTTTTCCTGGCAATAACTTCCCATGCTAACTAGGGAAACAAGAAACAAACCAGGTTTCGGTATTTCATGTAAATAGACAAATACTAAGTTAGGAAATGTTCAGATGAATTTGTAGTATGGCCTGGGACACAATCCTTGTACACAAAAAGATATATTTTAAATAACACAGTTGATCGCGCAGATGACTCATATAAGGCCTTTCTGTTAGCGTACTTAATTTTGGGGGTGCACTAAGGGATCGTTCTTAATTTCCCAGTCCCTTGAGACCCGTTAACTTAATACAGAACGTCAGCGAACAGGAGAAGTTGTAATTTTCAAGTGAAATCTTTGTGGCATGGGAAAATGTCTTAAGACCCAAGGGCAAAGGTTGCAAGTGTCTCCCATTTAAAGTTTACCCAAATTCATCAAACTGAGGTCTGGAAAAGTCGTAGTTTTGGTATAGCCACAAGTTTCTTTACACTAATTAAAAAAAAGATTCCATGTGTTTTTTTTCCCCCCCACTAGGAACAAAGCTGGGAAAGAGTTACTCCTTACACATGCTGTAAGTCCCCGAAACGGTCCAAGAAGCCAAGAATCAGTAAAACCACCTCAAGTATATCTCACCAGAGTATGTCAGAGTCGCTTAAGAAAAACGTGTCTTGGGGAACCCACCAACAACCCAGCCTGGATTGCAAATTCACCAAAGGAGAACCCATCGCGGGCAGCAGAAAGGCTGGGGTTTCCTGCTTCAAGCCTTACACCTACATCCCAATGATGAATGCCAACCCCGAGGGGGAAAGGGCGAGAGGAAAATTAGACTCGATTCAGACGTTCCTAGGCGAGAAAAGGACTTTGCCGATAAAGGAATATGAAATCAAGTATTCTCAGCACACGGAACAGGAGGTTCTGAGCATGCCAAAAGCGAGCCAGGGCCACCTTGCCAGCAGCTTGGGCTGCATCACTCTAAATGCGCTGTTAGTCTTCAAGCCAGAAGCCGGTGTAATCAACCTGCATCTGGAGCCCCCTTCTAAAGCTAAAGCGGCCGTGGTCAAGAGATCGGACAAGGGGCACGGCGCCTCAACTCACTTCGTCTCTCGCAGCTATGCTGCAAAAGAAGCCAAAGAATCAAAACAGAGTAGATATGAATCATATGGTGAAAAAGCAAATACAAAAATCATGTACCACTCTCCGATTTGTCCGTGATGCTCGTGTGTTCCGTTCTGTCCTCAAGCGTGACTTATTTCCACGGCCCAGAAAACAAAAATTCGAAAGCCACTGCTGCTCTCTTGGCCAAACCCTACGGGCTCCTTGCGTTGCCTGTCCTCAGATTATTTACAAGGACGGCAGCATCAGTTCAGTAGTAGGTGCCCACCTTTAATGGATAGAATAATTCGCAAGGGAGTAATCGTCGGCAGGGGTCAATTTTCATCAGAGAATCCAAAGAGCTGTAGAACATGATGCGCTTGTGTTCTTGGGCATTGGAACTTTTCAGATTGTTATGTTCCTTGAAAAGTTCTCCTGTAAGAGCTGAGGTGAGCAATATTTTTTTAGACAGTTACCACACTGCCTCTCCCTTTATGGAAGCAGTTTGTAAGATAATGTGTGACACTGCATGGAATTTCAATGAATCACGAATCCTTTCAGAAAGACAATGGCGATCCCCAATATACCTTCTCTCCAGCCAATCATCAATGGATACAGTTTGGGTAATCCAGTCACTCAGTTTTGATTATACCAAAGAAACTCAAGACTAAATTATGGAATACAGCAGTTCAAACATTACCATAGAATCGTTAGGGACTATGCTCTTAAATCTACATTGAAAGTAGAATTTAAGTTGTTTTTCAAGGGAGGGACACCTTAAACGGATTATATTAACTGATGCAGAATTGTGCAATTAAATTAGGTACAGTATGGGGGAGAAATAGGAAAGTGCACTTGTTTTACAATATACTAGTGTTCTGAAATCTTGAGTCCAACTAATAAGCCACTACATTTCAACCTCAAGTGTTCTTGCAAAATTGGGATCATAATTATACTGCTAAACCTATAATCTGGCATGTTGGAACATGTCACAAATAGACCTTTTTATGGTAATAGAGAGCCTTGGCATAAGAATGCTTGACACAGTTTTTGGTTGCTTTTTTAACACTTGGGGCTTATTAAAATTTTTTAGATTTATCCCTTCCCTTACATACAGCTCAGTGGCAGTTGTATAAATGTCAGATATATCTGCGATACTCATGGCCTCATTACTGTTACCTGATAATTTTCAGCCCCACCAAAATGGCCAGGATATTTTGTGGACTTTTTGAAAATAATGGGATTTTAAAATGCCACCATTTGTAACTGATCATAATCTAATTGTTTTTAACAAATTAAATGTAGTCAATTTAGTCAGACTGTACAGATTTGTGGACGCAGCAGTAATAAATTTCATCCTGCATCCTGCAGTAATTTCAGAGGACTCCTTGGAGCAATACCACATTATTTTCTCATGCCAAAATATGTAAAATTACTTTCTGCATCCATTAATTTCTTGCTTCACTTTTATTTCTCACTTCCCTTCCCCAACTCCTTCCAACCAGCTCCAGAAGCTGCTTTTCCACATCGTTCAGTAGCTGTAGAGTTGCCCTACAACATTTTAAATATAACTGTGAAGCCCTGTTTTTAGATATGAGACAGATCTCTGGCAAAGGAACATTTAGACACCTTTTCTCCTATGAGAAAGGAAGTACCAAAATTTCTCATTCAAATATTTCTCATGTAGTTACTTGCAATTGTTACTTGTTACTACAGCCTTATGTGGATAACAACTTGTAAGACTGCATTCATGTTTAATGAGCAACCTGTAGGACTGCATTCATGTTTGATGTCTAAGGATTAAATTAGGGTTTTAGCCCTAATAAATTCTGATGGTTGCATTGAAACAGAAGTAGATCCCTTAAAATTTTAAATTTAGGAGCCGGCAAAAGGTGTCTTTATTACATGGAATGTACATGTATTGAACCAAGTGATGCAAACAAAACCACTGTAATACAGGAGTATCAGTAGGAAAATAGACCTTTTATCTCAAAACTGTAACTGTAACCATCAGCAGGCGTTTCAAAGGACTTAGTGTGTTTTTGTCAACTATAAATTGAATGCAAATTGGTGTTTTTTTTAAAGGCTTGGTGGTTTGATTGAAAAACAGCTCAGAAAAAAGGGACAATGACCTATGATATCAAAACTTCAATTCAGGACAGGAGGCTTATAAATGCAGACATTTGTGTTCCTGAAACTATCCTGATAATATGCCATTAAACCAAGTTAAGCTTGCCTGGATCTTACCAAATACCTGTACAACCATCCTGACTTCTTTAAGGTTTAGGATATTTCTCACTGGCAGATAAGACCGGGACATGGCTAGAAATGATCCCACAACTGATCCCACAACTACAAAATTAAAGGCTGAATCCGAAGCTAAGATGCCAAACTCCCTTCAATCAACTCTTATTAGTCGCACATCAGGATAATGTTCTTTTATAAGAAAAACTATCTGAGCAACAGACTGCGTCAAGTGATGGAGGACACCCATTTTGGGAACAAACTCAGCATTTCTTCCTACTACCCTTGTAAAAGAGGTACTGGTAATGTATGATCTCCAAAGCTTACACAACTCTCTTCAGTTCTAACCAGCCTGGCTAATAGAGAGGGCTAACAAAAGCTGCAATTCAGCAACATCTGGAAGATCAGATTGCCAGCCCACTTCAAAGGATGAGTCTCAAGTATTTTTTTAAAAAAACGATTCATCTTTTTACCAAATCATTTTGGGTTACTTATTGCAAGAAAGCCCAAAATTAGACAATATGTAAATCTATACACGAGACTCGTGACTACATAGTCATAGACTACATACTGTAGACCATATAGACATAGATTTCAAGTCTAGCGCAATGAACACAGAAGAATGAAACTTTCCCTTTTCCCCAACCTTAAGGATAAACACACAGGTTGATTGGCACTGCAGCAGGAAAGGATCCACGAGGGCATAAGAGCTAGAATCAATAAAATCACACACTTTTGGCCCTTGGAAAACTACAGTGGTGCTCAGGGAATCCAGTGCTCAACAGAAAATCAAAGAATTTACTCACCCTCACCAACGCAGTCCGATAGTATGTTGAGATCTTTGGTAAAGATGACTGTAAGTCACCTGGCCTTTGATAGACTGTTCTCCTGCAGTAGCTGTACCAAATGACTTGGTTGAACTGTTAACCTGTTCTTGGCTTTCTAAACAATTGTCTTAAACCAGTGTTTTGGAAACAGTTATTTTAATATTAGCTGACATATCTGTCTCTAGAAGCAGCGTGCAGAATTGGAAACAATTTAAGTCCAGCAGAAATAAGGGTGAACAAGAAACAGGCTTGGACAACCCCAGATTATGTTTAAAGCAGAAACTTTGAAGACTTGTTAAATTCAAAATGCATTTTGAAAAGGAATTTCATAGTGTTTCTTTAGGCGATTCCTTTTTCATTTCTGCATACATCCTCTGCTTATTTTCTGTACATGATAAGAGGTTTTGGAACTATTGAGTTCAATTCCATAACTGTGGTATCAATTGAGAATACACAGGAGAGTTTTTTTTAAAAAAAATTCTGGCTACAAATACTTGTTTTCTTAATAGCAAGCTGCACCTACTCCAAACATGGAACTGTGTGACATCTTGTCGGCTTAGTGTCTATAAGACAATGTTATTCACTTCCTGACAGTGAGAAATACACAAACAAAAGTTAGAGAAAATCTGGTTCATAAGACTTTGGCTCCTTTTCTTAGAATATTACGTTTAATAACACTGGAACTGACATGGTTGCAGAACTGGTCAACTGTAACAGATCAATATGCTGAAGACTGAATTCATAGGACTTGCTGGAGACCTCGTAAGAGATCAACTTCTTATAAGCAGGGGCAACCGACACCAGTATATGCAGAAAAACAACAAAAAGGAAAAGTTACAGAGTTAAAACTTGGGGCATTATGTTTACTCAGAAGTCATATTGTTAATTCTCAAAAAAAAACAAAAACCTTTAGCATCAGTATCCATCAAGGTCAGATGTCAGACATGATTAAAACCGATGAGAGGAGAACTTTGGGTTTGTGAACATTCATTCAGGATAGCAGAGGCAAGCAGCAGAAGCCTTACAAAGTGCCCAAACATAACGTACAACTGTAACCATATGCAACAGGGCTTAAATTAGTCACAATACACAACAGTGAAAGTACTTTTGCAATCTGACACGGTCTGTAAACCGAGGCTTTATAGTTAGTTACCCTTGGTAGAGCTAACCCCAGTTATGTTTTCTTCCCCCTTATAACTTAACCTTCAAAATGCTGCCGTGTGAGAACGGCATTCAACAGCCTGCTTTGTCGGACCCCTGAAGCAAAGAGCACAATTCTGCACAGGTTTGTGTCTCTACGGAACTAAACTGCGACTCCATCGTATTCCAGGCCAGGTCAGCCAAAAGGAAATCGTCCATAACCGTCTGAGTCTCGTTGGTGGTGAGAAATAAACTGCCCAGGGTATCAAGACAGCTGTCTATGGTTTGCGTTTCAGCGCTGTTCAGCTGGACTTTGCTCTCTGACATAGGATCGGAGATCTCGCTGTCAGGACATCTCATTTCTGTTTGGGTTTCCGTATTGGAAGAGTCGGCGCTCATCAGAAAAGCGGAGGGCTTCAAGATGTTCCCCAGAGGCAGGTAGGGAGTGTCCAGGAAGAAATTTAAGTCCGTCTGGGTCTGCGTGTCAAACATTTCTAAGCCTAAGAAATTAGAATTACTCCGAGAGGTGTAGGATTGGGTGTCGTGGTCTGAAAACAAATCGGTTTGGGTTTCAATGTCTAGGGACTCCAAGGGCGGCACCGAGTTCAAGTTGCCAAATTCAGCCTCTTCGGTTTGAGTTTGGATGTTGGAGGCGGTAAAGAATTCCTCAAGGTCAAAATCTATCCCTGCGTTCTGGGTAGGGACGGAGCTTAAGGGAATGTCAGGGTTGGAGTGAGTATCTGTTAAAAGACTCCGGTTATCCAACGAGTGACCTGCTGAGTTGTTGGAAAAAATCGTTTCCAGGTCGTTCAGCAGCTCCATGGTTTGCGTCTGATTGTCTGTCATAATTTGCTGGGGAAGAATACCGTTTGTCGGTGGGTTGAAGCTGAGCATCGGCTCACACTTTGTGTCCGGGCTCAAAGTTTTGCAGTTTCCTTGCGGTAGCATATTCTGACACAGGTTGGCTGCCATCAAGGGGCCGCCAGGATGAGCGATTGGGCTTGAATCGGGGAATGCGGCATTAACGCTGCTGAAAAGACTGCTGCACGTGACGGTCTGGTCCATGTGTACGTTCTCACCCATACCTTTTTGGGACTTGCTGGTCTGAGTCTCCCGGGAAATCCCACCGGGTTGGAAGCAAGCCTGACTGAGCACATCTGTCTGAGCAGCTATGGAGGAAGTCAGCTTTAAGCCGGGTAACAGGGTTTGTGTCTCTACGCTCACCGGAAGCAACATTTGGGAACTGAAAGTCAGGTCTGTCTGAGAACACGAGGACACCGAGGAATCGGGAGGCCAAGCTGCCGGAGGCACAAAGCTCTGGGAAACATAAGATAGGTCAGTTTGAACATTTGTGGAACAGATTCCGTTTTTATAGCACAGGGCTTCTAGAGCCTGGACTGGGTTATGGGGAGCAGCTTTGCCTAAATTCACCTGGATGCCTGTACTAACTGGCTTAGTGCCATCGGCAGTTTTGGTTCTGGAAAGGGCTGAGGGGGTTTTGAAGGCAAGGGTTTCAGCCTCCAGGGCAGGGATCATAATTCCAACTGGCATTGGCATGAAGTGAACAGCACTCATAACGGAGCCTCTGTCGTCCACAGCCACCACCACGGACTTCACAGAAGAGTTCGGTGCTGGCACGAAGATAGGCAACTGAGTCAGCTGCATTACAGGGAGCTTAACCAAACCCGTTTTCGGCTTAGGCAAGAGAAACTTTGGTGCATTTCTGGGCTGTGCTTCTGCTTGCTGAATAGTATAAGATTGGCTGGGGTCGTCCAAAGAAGCCGTAGACTTGGTTTCAGAGCTCTCCAAATCCTCCGTGCTGGAACATCTGCTGTGGCAGATGTTGGCAGAGGTCCTGTTTGTTGTTCTGTCTTCCGGCAGGCGGTTAGATAGTGAAGCCTCAGTTTTCCTTTTCTTGCTAGGCGGATCCCTGTAAACGTGAATAAATTGTTAGTGAAGACCCCTCCTCTAATGCATGCAACATTCAAAAGCCCACAGTGCTAACTATTTGGGTGAAAGAAGCGATGGTTCGCATTTGCACTTCTATCTGATAAGGGATGCGTGGATGTAAAACCAAGAAAAATACAGGCCACTGTGTTATGAGCAGTTATGAAACCAAGAGCAGAGGAGCCATCGCTGGCGTTTACCAACACCGAAACTCTTTCCCCAGCTTCTAAACCCCACAAACTAATATGTCCATGTGTAGGAGATGTTTGGAAAATGCTGCTATACCTGTGTTCAACCGGGATCTCATGTTGTGTCCGATAAATATGAGATAACAATGCTGTCCTACTAGCATATGGACAGCCACAAGTACACTGGAAAGTCTTGCCACAGTCCAAAACATGGCGCTTTAAATCCCATATAGTGCCGTACGAATTGGTACATTTGTCGCATTTATGCTTCTTTTCAGCGTGCATTTTCATGAAGTGCTGAAACAAGCAAACATTAGGGAAATTACAGGGGTACGGAGAAGCAACTTAGAGCCAATGAGTGGCATCATCTTTTAACATTCTCAAATTACTATTAGATTTTTTTTTTCAGTTTTAAGTCCGAACTCTTTCTAGACCCTACCTGGAGATGTTGGGGACTAAAAGTAGAGTTTACCAATCAGATCCCCCAACTTTGATTAGGCCTATTTCCTAACAGGCAAACCTGTTTACTATAGAGAACTAACTGTAATTCTGTGTTCATTTTGAATGATGCAGCACAGATACTTTAGGATTTAACAGTTTTACTTATATGCCACAAAATAATTGGAAATAGAAGATCAAATCTTGACTCGCAATATTTAGGTTCGGGATAACCAAAGAAAAAAATTGTAACTAGTTTAATACCAAGTTCCCTCACTGCCACCCTACACATTTAGATTTCAAAAAAGAGATGCTACAGTTGAGAAAAGTAACTTTCTGGACTATTCATGCCTCTGCTGCATGTTCATTTATTTGAATCAAGTTCACTCTTATTCCACGTGCTAATCCCATAGTAAGGACTTAATTTACAATTAGAAATTGCACTGACATGCAGATTTGTTATACAGTATATATATGTTTTCACATAAAAACTGTAATTCAGAAAAAACAACTTTCTGAGATGACATTCCACTCACTGTAATTTCCATTAATTTATCTTTAAATAATGTAGTTATGTTCCATACCTGCCTTACAAGAGAAAATTGTGAAAATGGCCTTTCTGGTCCTCTAGGACAACCTTCAATTGGACAGCAGTAGTATTTCTGTAGTGTTTTCAAATCTTTCCTCATTGCAGGATATATTTTTCCATCCTGAAGTGGCAGACATTATTAAAAAGAAACACCATATTTTAGAATTAAGAAGCAGGTGGAAGGTAAGCTGAATTTTGGGTTACAGGTAATCCTTGACATACAACAGTACATTTACTGACCTTTCAAAGTTACAACAGCACTGAAAAAAGTGACTTATGACTGTTTTTCACACTTACGAAGGAGGAATTATTGACATCATGCATAAGTCCCAACTTTGAGAAAGACAAATCCCTGAATGGCAATATAAATCAAGAATCCTATCTGCCAAATCTTCTGAAGATGCCTCCACAAATTTAACTGTTGCTGCTGTTTGGAAACACATCACACTACACATCCCATTACCGTGAACTGTATGAACATGCAAGACACCACACCGTCCTTCTGATCCTTGCCCAACACAGTAGTTTTGTTAAGGGAAGCCTAAAATGATTCAAACAAAATAAAAAAGCCAAAAGCCAACAGTAGGAGGAACGAATGGGACAGTCCAAAATAAATATGTTAGCAAGAGAAAGCCCTGGAGGCAGCGTCTGAAGCATAATTCCAAAGTCAACAAAGGCCTTAATTTTTTTTCAATTGTTGCACATTTTTGAGTCTATTAATACTCTGAAGCAAGATGAAGTAATTACAAACCAGGAAAAAAAACCCAAGATATCTGATGTTACAGTCCATTATCGTATCCCAGTGGCGTTCTTTAGCTGATTGAGAGCGACTTTGCAGTAATGGACCGTAGGGGTCAAGGTATTTCCTGAGTGTTTTCTGGAGGATGGCGGAGAAGCAGGCAGAGAAGCAGTTGCTTGAGTCAGATCCTTTTTATTTTTGTAAATAAAACCCCCAGCAGCCAGAATTTACCCATCTTATGACAACTATTCAATTCCTTGCATGTTGAAATTTCTGATAGAAAGCCCTGGAGGGGCTCTCCAAGACAGCCTATTTAGAGGCAAGGAAAGTATCATTTCTTAAAAGTGGGGTCCTAGGACCCATGGAGGTCCTCAAAGCCCACCTCAAGAATCCTCAAAATCAAAACGACTTGCCAGCCACATTGAAATAATACAGGTAGTCTTCAACTTACAACAGTCCGTTTAGTGAAGTAACAACGGCACTGAAAAAGGTGACCTATGAGGGCTTTCCAAACTTACGACCGCGGCAGCATCTGCACAGTCACACGAGCAAAATTCAGATGCTTGGTAATTGACTCATGTTTATGACGCTAGCAGAGTCCTGTGGTCAGACTGGACAGCCACCTGTCTGAAATGGTACAGGGTCTCCTGCTTGAGCAGGGGGTTGGACTAGAAGACCTCCAAGACCCCTTCCAGCTCTATTCTGATTGACTGAACCTTCTGACAAGCAAAGTTAGCAGGGGAAGCCAGATTCACCTAACAACTGTGTTAATAAGAACCACAGGGATTCACTTAACAACTGTGGCAAGAAAGGTCGTAAAACAAGGCAAAACTCAGTTAGCAACTGTCTCACTTAGCAACAGATAGTTTGGATTCAATTGTAGGCGTAAGTCAAGGACTACCTGCATTAAAATCCCCTCAGACCATCCTAAGCAGCAGCAGACTACGCATCCATTTTCCTTGTTCATACAAACGAATTAGAACCATGCAAACAGGCCATATATGCTAAATAAAGTCTTTTTTGGGAGGAGTCCTCCCCAATTGTCAACAGTGGGAAGAAGTGGTTGAGAAGGAAAAAAAACTTTTAAGACACCCTGACTGGAAAGGAAGCCCAAGGGGAAGGGAGAGAGATATTTTTTTTGGGGGGGGG